TTAGTTATTACAATGAATCAAAAGAATGTCTGGAGATTGCAAAGATCTTACTAGACCCACTCCCATAATCCACATTTCAAGATAACAGGATTAGCCAGAAGGCCCTCAGGAAGGAGAAAGTGTCCTCAAACAGGATATGTTGTTGTTGTGTGATCGCTAGTACAGAGTTTAAACTGAGTTGTGTAATTGATTAAGGAATGTAGACAAAAAAACAAAAAAATTGTCCCTCCCTCCTCCTTGAGAATTCCAGACCCCTCTCTTCTTGGGGACCCACAGACTTCTTATCAACCTGCCTAGGAATTGACTCTCTTAAAAGTTACAGAAAGCTGGCTAAGTTTGAGGAGGAAAAATCAGGAAGGACATTTAGCAGTGTTTAGGGGTTTATAAGGGTAATGTTTGTGCAGAAGGGTTTCATTTTTATTTGTCATTCTGTGACTGTCAGTTCAGTCAATGCTTATGAAAGACAGTTGGGAACAAAGGTCCTATGACTTCCTTCAGTTACAAAATAACAGGATTGCCACAACCTGTCGCAATCATTTCTGAGAGTGACTACATTTCATCTCCCCTTGATTGGCAGTTAGAAAGGTCTTCCTAAGAGGGCATGGTCCTGGGATACACTCCCAGGGGAACATGTGTTGGTAAGGGTCCAAAGGAAAACCCGGGGATGTTGGAGGTGCCTAAGGAGACACGGAAGGATGATAACAGGTGGATGAGGGGAGTTAGCTGGGATCACATCCCTGCTGGGAATGACGCAAGTCATGGAGATGAGTGAAAAAATCTGCATGAGTGTTACCAGGCCTAACAAGTTTCTTTGATGACCTTTCACAGCAGGATGTTAGGTCAGAGCAGGTACAGAGGAATACAAGGAAGCAAACAGAAAGATGTATCTTGGGAGCAAAAGGAAAAAGAAAAGAAATGAGGGCCTTCCCTTGTGGCCTAGTGGGTTAGATTCTGTGCTACCGGTGCACATTTTTGGCTCCCATTGCTGGAACTAGATTGCACAGGCCGCAACTACATCCCGTTGCAGCCAAATAAACACATAAATATTTTGTAAAAAGAAGAACAGGGTTTAAAGATAGGTAATGTTATTGAAATAGACGGGGAAAAGTGGAAACTGTGACTGATTGTATTTCCTTAGGCTCCAAGATTACTGCAGATGGTGGCTGCAGCTATGAAATTAAAAGATGTTTAGTTATTGGAAGAAAAGCTATGACCAACCTAGATAGCATATTAAAAAGCAGAGACATTACTTTGCCAACAAAGGTCCATCTAGTCAAAGCTATGGTTTTTCCAGTAGTCATTTATGGATGTGAGAGTCAGACCAAAAAGAAAGCTGAGTGCTGAAGAATTGATGTTTTTGAACTGTGGTGTTGGAGAAGACTCCTGTGAGTCTCTTGGACTGCAAGGATATCCAACTAGTCAATCCTGAAAGAAATCAGTCCTGAATATTCATTGAAAAGCTGAAGCTGCAACTCCAATACTTTGGGCACCTGATGCAAAGAACTGACTCATTAGAAAAGACCCTGATTCTGGAAAAGATTGAAGGCAAGAGGAGAAGGGGAAAACAGAGGATGAGATGGTTGGATGGCATCACCAACGGGATGGACAAGAGTCTAAGCAAGCTTCGGGAGTTGATAATAGACAGGGAACCCTGGCATGCTGCAGTCCATGGGGTCACAAAGAGTCAGACACGACTGAGTGACTAAACTGAACTGAATTGAAGGTATGAAAATCCAGATTGACTAAAACAGATTAGAGGTGAGAGTCTAGAAGAGTCCTCTTCATAAAAAGAGTCATCACAGGAACCCTTTAAAAAGGGGTTCTCTACCCTGACCCCACACCAGCATCGCCTGGAAGCTGGAGAGTTGTCTGCCACCATCTCATATACTGATGAGCTGATGGTGACAGAGATGATAACAGAATCTACATCACTGAGTTATTAGGAAGATTAAATGTGTTACACACAGTCCTCCCAAAAACAGAAATAAAAATATAATCTGAGAGATTGAGAAGTTTACATTGAGATACCAAGCATGTACCTAACGGACACTTATTGACCACACTGAATCTGTTTGTTACCACTTCCTCCACTACTCAGCACATGAGTGCCCATGAAATGATCATATCAGTTACTGGAAAAAATTTTAAACTAAATATTCTCTGCAAATAAACAAAAAACACAATGCCAAAGTTCCACCTCAAACCAATTAAATCAAAATATCTACGCATTGAGACCCAGATGTCAGTAGTATCTGAAGCTTCCCAGGTAATGCCAATTCAAGCCAAGATTGAGGCCCTTATAAAGAATGATCTCACCAGTAAATGTTAATATTCAATTTCTAATCTGGAAATAAGCAACAAAAGCCTTCCTTAGAAAGGTCTGTTAGCTGATGAGCCAGCAATTTCACCTTTTGGAATTTACTTCAAGAAAATAACAAGAGATATAAGCAATGATTAATGTAATAGAACGACCTTAGTTTGCTGATCAGGGATCAAACCCATGCCCTTGGCAACAAAAGTGCGGAGTCCTAAGCACTGGACTCCCAAGGAATTCCCACCACAGCATTATTTATAAGAGTAAATTTGTTTAAATTGTGTAGGAACCCAGATGAAGGACTCCTAACTGCTAGGAAGTGGAGGCACAGAATAAGAGGTTCCAGCTGTATCTTAAAGGATGAAGGAGAGTTTGCATGGACAGAGAGGGGGTGTCCTGGAGAGGACAGGCATGCCCTGGGGTCAGGGAAGAATCTTATTCACATTTTAATCCAGCCATTGAGGAGTCAGTTTGTCTAGACATTATAAGCCAGACTTGAACCAACAGTCATTGGAGAAGTTGGGACCCCCAAACAGGAGATGGAAATAGTGTAGACTAGCTGCAGTGCTTCTCAGGCTTTACTAGGCACACAAACACCCAGTGAAAGTTGCTCAGTCATGTCTGTTTGTGACCACATGGACTATACAGTCCATGGAATTCTCCAGGCCAGAGTACTGGCGTGGGTAGCCTTTCCCTTCTCCAGGGAATCTTCCCAACCCAGGGATCGAACCCAGGTCTCTCACATTGCAGGCAGACTCTTTACCAGCTGAGCCACAAGAGAAACCTACAAACACCCAGAAACACCCAGGGATCTCTTTAAAATGCAGATTTTGATTGGGTAGGTCTGGGGTGGGGCCCAACAAGCTGCATTTCTAACAAGCTCCCAGGTGATGCTGATTCTGCAGGCCCTCAACCACACTTTGGGTGGTAAGCGGCTGAAATTAATACAAAAGAGCCATCCCCGCCCACCTCCCACCCCCAGCAAGGGTCTGCAGGCTAATGGAGAACCAGGGCATGGTGTTTTCTAGAGGGAAAAACAAAACAAAAAACTTTACAGCTGTGACACCAGAGACAAGATCCTGTGTCAGTGATTCAGGAATGTGAACTGTACCACCTGAGGTTTGAGGGAGCTGATGGTCAAGGCTATTGGACATTCCAAGAATGCTACAGATTCTCTGACCTGAAAAGAGCTTAGTCAACTCTTTTCCCAAAAAACAGAATCAAAAACCCTCAGCCTGGGCAATCAGCACATACCCAGTGTGATTCCTCAAACATCTGATAAGCACCTCCCAGGCCAGGCACTGGCAATACAAAGAACTAGTACAAAATCGAAAAGCTGAACACTGGTAGAAATGTTCTCAAAACAAGGCACTTGAGAGATGATTTGGAATTTGGGGGGCTATGAAATAATCAAACCCAGGTCTCCTATACTGCAGGCAGATTCTTTACCATCTGAGCCACCAGGGAAGCCCAGGAAAGAACAGGCCAGAGCCACGCGAAGCCTCAGAGTGTGGCTCAGCAGGGGGCAGTCTCAGGAAAACAAAGTAATTTAAGCCAGAGCTCTAATTTTTGGAAACTGCCAACATGTGTGTTACAGGTGTTAGGACACCTCACAGTGTAGAGAAAATTAATTTTAAATGGCTGAAAATGATACACTGTTGCACATTATTTCCAAGAGCTTTTAGCCGAACAAATTAAAATGGGAGGTGTTTTTCCAATAGCTGTGACACAGGAGCTCAGTTGTTCTGAGGCACATAGGATCTTCCCTGATCAGGGATGGAAAATGGGAGACTTTTCAAAGCTACAAACCTTCCTTCTCCAAGTAACCACAAAATGATCCAGAAGGCCAAGTCCAGATCTGACTCCCTTTAAAGGTTAACCTTTGAGTCAGAGCGACACAGGTCCAGATGTCAAGCTCTCTGCACCTTTTCTTTAACTCATGTAATGTGGCAAAACGAAACCTAAAGTGTGTTTATCTAGGAACATGCACATGCCCCCAGAGGCCGTGCCAGGCTCTGCCTGCTGAGAGGTTTCTCCTCAGAAAGAGCTTCTGAAAGCCATGCCTAAAAGAAAACCAAGAATCTGCATGCCCCGGGCAAGTATCCCTAACTCTGGGGCCCAATAAGGAATGGTAACAGGTTGGGATGGTAAGAATCTGGGTTTTTTCAGTGGCCCCTGAGAGAGTGCACTGTCTAAAAATGGCCCCCAAGTGAGCCCCATGTGCAGGACAGTCTATTCCTACAGAGGCGGCGGCTATTTGCGGCTACCCAAGTTGTCAATACTCTCCTAAGGGATTACCGGTACGGGAGGAAGCGTATGCCTCCTGAGTGCACTAATCGCTATGGAGAGGGACGTGGGACAGGGTGAGCTCCGTCAGGGGCACTTACACTTTATCACTTGGATTTTTTTATAACAAGAATATAATCAAACATTACTTGTATAATTAAAACAAATTTTTTAAAAAGCATGAACAAATCAATGCATGAACAACTCCAAAGATTCCTTTGCATTTATCCCATATCCATCAAAGTAACCTGATTCTGTTCTCGCAGAAAGAGAACATTCTGAGCATTCTAGTCCATTTGGATGTTTCCTGGAAAAATTAATAAAGCGTATTGTGGGGCATCACCTCTGGTGAGTTTGGTCCCTCTGACCCCCAGTTTTTTCTCTCTCTACTCCTGAACAGATCCCTCTGTCACCCTGCCACCACAAGGATCTTATACATCCTGGATGTCACTACTGCCGGCCCAGACCAAGGATAAAATCTACACATCTAGGCAGATCATGCCCAGCCCTGCTTGCTCTGGTTGGCCTCATCTTTTCCTGTTCCCCACAAAAGTCACACGGAAGCACAGACTTGTCCTTCTTGGTGAGATCCTGGTATTCTGCCCAGCCTGCTACTCCTCCTGGAATACCCCTTTCGTCCTCTCAGCAACTCCAAATCCTCCATATCCCTGGGGACTCAGCATGGTGTTGTAACTGCCCCTGGTAAGTGCTCTGATTCCAGCCCACTGCCAAGGCAGAGAGTCCTGCTCTGGGCTTCCATGTTGTATATAGGGCTTACCCCATAGGAGAGCTGATCAGACTGTTAACCTCTCCTTCATTCTTTTAATTTTGTATCCTGAGCGCCTAGCCCACAGCAGGAAGTCAATATATATCCACTGACAGAAGTGAAGAAAGGTTCATTCCCCAACACTCTGATAGCACAAATGCACACAATTAAATATTTGAATTTGCAGAACAAATCGTGGTGGAAGTCAGTCTGCTTGCCTCTTTCTCCAACCTCCCATTCCCTGTACCCTGAAACCCCTATGCACTGTGGCCAAGACCTGAAGCCCCCTCAACACATCCCTAGCCTAAGCTGCAATGGACCAGGCAGGGGCCAGGAAGCTGGGTCGTTGTCCCTTGACCGTCTGGGGGTGAAAGCAAAAAGGGTCACCCAATACTGACTACCTCATCAGAGATAATTTTAAACATCTTGTTGATTCTAATCATGACCAACATTCTGTTAAAATGGTTCGTAATATGAAGAGATTTCCTAACGCTGAACTAATTTCACATTTCTGGTATAAACCCAACCTGTCAGTAATTATTCTTTTTATATATTGCTAATTTTAGGATCGTAACAGATGATCTCTATATTTATACTCATCAGTGACACTGACCTATAATTTTCTTGTATCATTCTTATTAGATTTAGTATCAAGATTACACTACCCTATTTTTCTACTCTGGAAGAATTTGTGCAAGACTGCAATTACTTAGTGCCTCAGTGATTGGCAGAACTCACCAATAAAACCGGGGTAGGCCTGGAGTTTTTTCTGAGAGAAAAATCTCTGAGTACAAATTCAATGTCTTTAAAGCCTATAGACTTTTGATTTTGTATTTCTCACAGAAGCAAATTTGGCAAGTTCGATTTTTCTAGGTAATTCCAAACATTTGGATTACAAAGATAACTAGTATGTGGAAGGCTGACCCTGAGGTGAACCCTGCAAGAAATTAAGTTCCTCCTGAGTCATCAGAGAAATAACAGCTCACATGTTGACATATGTTACAATTTATAAAAGCACTGGTCACATATTACTTCATCTGAAGATGAGGTCCGCGTGGCTTTGATGATTTATGATGTCTCATTATTTGCAAAGGGATAGATAACTTCCTATTTAGCACAATCAGCTGATTTGCTAGGAAACGCTGTGGAGGCCAAAGCAACTGCTGAATTCCTCACTTCATCTCGGGGAGTCACTTGGGAGTGTCAATATCTACAGTGTTGGGAGTGTTCTGAGCTCCTGGAAACAAACCTTCCCCAAGACCAGGCTGGGGGTGTGAAGTGCGGGGCTGGCACCTTCACGACCACGGGTTCCACACACAACGCGGCCCGGACGCGGTGGCGGTGGGGGGACACTCACCAGGGCCTCGAAGTCCTTGCAGTCGTGGCGGGCATAGGACGCGGGGAAGGGCCGCAGGACGGAGTCGCGCTTGTAGCTCCGCAGGGCCGAGGCGAAGAAGCTGCAGCGCAGGTCGGCGGCCAGCACGTCACGGCCTGCCGCCTCCCTGACGGCCGCCCGGCCTGCGGGCTGCATCCCGGGGCGCCGCGCGTTGCCGGGGGAGACGCGCCGAGGTGCGGGGAGGGGGTAGGCAGGGCCAAGCAGGCGGTCAGCGCGGGGCTGGGCCCGCGGACAATGGGCTGCAGGGGGCCGGGGTCGAGCTAGGCGGAGAGAGAAGATGACAGGGTGAGAACGCGCTGAGGAGTGTCTTCTGCGGGGGCGCCGAGCCACTCGCCGTCCAGGGAGACGGAGGGGTGAGGAGAGTGACTGGCCGGGGCCGCGGGATAATGGGGCCGGAGGCCGGGGAGCCCGGGCTGGGGGAGGGGCTATGACATGGGTGAGACGACAGCGGCCCGACACGCGTCCTCTGAAGCGGCCTGGGGTGGGGGGCACCTCCAGGGGCGACCGCGGCCCGAGCCCGCTCCCTGCGCCGGGAGAAGCTGCGGCGCGGCCCGGGCCTTCCTGTCCCGCCTTCGACCGGCGCCCGCCCGGCTGCCCTCGGCGTTGCCTGCGTTCCGCCAGCTGTAAGCGTCCGCTGGCCGCACGGCGCCCGCCCGAGCGACTCCAGCGCCCCGCCGAACGCAAGGGCCTTACCTGCCCTCCCCGCCGCAGCCGCCGGCGTCCCCGCCGAGCCCCGGGCGCCGCCTAGCGCTCTGCCCCGCCCAGCGAGGGCCCGCCCCTTCCCGCGTCCGCCTCCGCCTCCGCCTCCGCCTCCGCCTCCGCCTCCGCCTCCGCCCCCGCCCACTCCCAGGTGCCGGGAGCGTCCGCGCGCCTCTGCCCGCGTGCTCCCGGGCTAACCTGTGTGCGGCCCCGGCGGGGTTGCCCGCGCTGCTGCGGGCCATCCTCGCTGAAGCCCGGAGTAGAAGCTGACCCAGGCGCACTTTTGACCCACCGCGGGCTCAGCCTGCTGGTCTCGCCTGGAGAATTGCTACTACCTCCTGCCTCCCTCTGGAATCATATCCCTCCAAAATGGGCTGGTGCAGAGAGTCATTTAACACCCAGGGCAACTGGGTCTCAGAGGGCTGACATGATTGCCCGAGGTTCCACAGCCAGATGCGTGAATCCGTAATTCTAAAAACCAAAAGACTTTTCCTCTGCCTTTCAGAATTCGCTGCACTGCGAAAATCTCTGGCTTCTCAGACTAGACCTTTGAGAGCCTCCAAGAAAGGGAGCCCCTGGAGACCAGTAATAGGCGAGGGCAGAGGGCAGATTGACCCAGTTCTGCAGGAGGGAAGGGACAGACCCCCATACCCTCCGCAAACTCACAACCCCATTAAGATAACCCCCACATTTTGGCCTCATGGTCACATGGAAATCTAAGCACAGGTGATGGCTAAGTCCTACACCAAGAAGCCTCGCAGCACGCTGCCCACACCTCCACACTCAAGCATCCTCCAAGGGAGGAACTTCCCGAACCTTCTCCAGTCAGGCTGAGGAGCACACTGAGCCCAGAGGAGTGGTCCTTGCTCTCATTAATGTATGCCTCTGGGAGGAAGAGCAAGACTAGACCACCAGCCATCACACGGCTTCCCAGGCTCACGCTCACTTCCCATCAGTGCTGGCTGCTCCCACGAGTCCGCAGCCAACCACATCAAACCTCTGGGTGCTGTGAGACCTGTACTGCTCCAGAAGCATCAAAAAGTGTCTGAGAGCCTTATAGTCGCAGAAAAAGCCCTTCAGTCAATCAATTCAGTCACTCAGTCGTGTCCGACTCTTTGCGACCCCATGAATCGCAGCACACCAGGCTTCCCTGTCCATCACCAACTCCTAGAGCTTGCTCAAACTCATGTGCATCCAGTTGGTGATGCATTCCAACCATCTCATCCTCTGTCATCCCCTTCTCCTCCAGCATCACAGTATTTTCAAATGAGTCAGTTCTTCGCCATCAGGTGGCCAAAGTATTGGAGTTACAGCTTCAGCATCAGTCCGTCCAGTGAATATTCAGGACTGATTTCCTTTGGGATTGACTGGTTGGATCTCTTTGCTGTCCAAGGGACTCTCAAGAGTCTTCTCCAACACCAAAGTTTAAAAGCATCAATTCTTTGGCACTCAGCTTTCTTTATAGTCCAACTCTCACATCCATACATGACTTACTGGAAAAACCATAGCTTTGACTAGATGGATCTTTGTTGGCAAAGTAATATCTCTGCTTTTTAATATGCTATCTAGGTTGGTCACAGTTTTTCTTCCAAGAAGCAAGCATCTTTTAATTTCATGACTGCAGTCACCATCTGCAGTGATTTTGGAGCCCCCCAAAATAAAGTCTGTCACAGTTTCCATTGTTTCCCCATCTATTTGCCATGAAGTGATGGGACTGGATGTCATGATCTTAGTTTTCTGAATGTTAGTTTTAAGCCAACTTTTTCACTCTCCTCTTTTACTTTCATCAAGAGACTCTATAGTTATTCTTCACTTTCTGCCATAAGGGTGGATTCATCTTCCTATTTGAGGTTATTGATATTTCTCCTGACAAACTTGATTCCAGCTTGTGCTTCATCCAGCCTGGCATTTCACATGATGTACTCTGCATGTAAGTTAAGTAAGCAGGGTGACAATATACAGCCTTGATGGACTCCTTTCCCCATTTGGGACCAGTCTATTGTTCCATGTCCAGTTCTAACTGTTGCTTCTTGACCTGCATACAGCTTTCTCAGGAAGCAGGTAAGGTGGTCTGATATTCCCATCTCTTGAAGAATTTTCCACTGTGTGTTGTGATCCACACAGTCAAAGTAGATATTTTTCTGGCACTCTCTTGCTTTTTCAATGATCTAACAGATGTTGTCAATTTGATCTCTGGTTCCTCTGCCTTTTCTAAATCCAGCTTGAACATCTGCAAGTTCACACTTCACATACTATTAAAGCCTTGACTTGGAGAATTTTGAGCGTTACTTTGCTAGTGTGTGAGATGAGTGCAATTGTGCAGTAGTTTGAGCATTCTTTGGCATTGCCTTTCTTTGGAATTAGAATGAAAACTGACCTTTTCCAGTCCTGTGGCCACTGCTGAGTTTTCCAAATTTGCTGGCATATTGAGTGCAGCACTTTCAACTTCTTTTCTCAGCTATTTGTAAGGCCTCCTCAGACAACCATTTTGCCTTTTTGCATTTCTTTTTCTTGGGGATGGTCTTGATCACTGCCTCCTGTACAATGTCACAAACCTCCATCCCTAGCTCTCCAGGCAGAGATTCTGTCTATCAGATCTAATCCCTGAATCTATTTGTCACTTTCACTGTATAATCGTAAGGGATTTGATTTAGGACATACCTGAATGGTCTAGTGGTTTTCCCTACTTTCTTCAATTTAAATTTGAATTTTGCAATAAGGAGTTTATTATCTGAGGCACAGTCCACTCTTGGTCTTGTTTTTGCTGACTGTATAAAGCTTTTCCACCTTTGACTGCGAAGAATGTAATCAACCTGATTTCGATATTGAGCATCTGGTGATGTCCATGTGTAGAGTCTTCTCTTGTGTTGTTGGGAAAGGATGTTTGCTATGACCAGTGTGTTCTCTTGGCAAAACTGTTAGCCTTTGCCCTGCTTCATTCTGCACTCCAAGGCCAAATTTACCTGTTTCTCCAGGTGTTTCTTGAATTCCTACTTTTGCACTCAGTCCCCTATAATGAAAAGGACATCTTTTTGGGGTGTTAGTTCTAGAAGGTCCTATAGGTCTTAATAGATACATTCAATTTCAGCTTCTTCAGCATTACTGGTCGGGGCATAGACTTGGATTACCATGATATTGAATGGTTTGCCTTGGAAACAAACACAGATCATTCTGTTATTTTTGAGGTTGTACCCAAGTACTGCATTTCTTCATTGAATCATTCAACTTCAGCTTCTTCAGCATTACTGGTTTGAGCATAGACTTGGATTACTGTGATATTGAATGGTTTGCCTTGGAAATGAACACAGATCATTCTGTCATTTTTGAGATTGCACCCAAGTACTGCATTTCAGACTCTTTAGTTGACTATGATGGCTACTCCATTTTTCCTAAGGGGTTCTTGCCCCTGGTAGTAGATATAATAGTCATCTGAGTTAAATTTGCCCATTCCAGTCCATTTTAGTTCACTGATGCCTAAAATGTCGATGTTCACTCTTGCCATCTGCTGTTTGACCACTTCCAGATTGCCTTGATTCATGGACCTAACATTCCAGGTTCCTATGCAGTATTGCTCTTTACAGCACTGGACTTTACTTCCATCACCAGTCACGTCCACAGCTCGGTGGTGTTTTTGCTTTGGCTCCGTCTCTTCATTCTTTCTGCAGTTATTTCTCCACTCTTCTCCACTGTAGTAGCACATTGGGCACTTACTGACCTGGGGAGTTCATCTTTCAGTGTCCTATCTTTTTGCCTTTTCATACTGTTCATGAGGTTCTCAAGGCAAGAATACTGATGTGCTTTGCCAATCCCCTCTCCAGTGGACCATGTTTTGTCAGAACTCTCCGCCATGACCAGTCCATCTTCGGTGGCCCTACACGGCACGGCTCATAATTTCATTGAGTTAGATAAGGCTGTGGGCCATGGGATCAGTTTGATTAGTTTTCTGTGATTGTGTTTTCATTCCAAAAAGACCCTTAGTGCCCTGAAAATCCTGGGAGCCTCACGGGACTCAGGAACTCTAACATGGCTGCCAAAGGTCAGACCCAGAAGGGCAGAGCCTATGGCAGGGAGGCAGGGGGTCTGGGGATTATATTGCTCCTCTCCACTGTGGACCGTTAGACAAGGCCACCTTACTGGCCTCAAGGGTTGGTTGGTGGCTGAATACCTGAAATTTGCTTTTCGCTGAGTATGCTATCTCACACATGAAATGAGAGTCGCACTGTTCATACCCGTGTTCCAGGGGTTGTGGAAACGTCTCTGAGGATGCCACCGTAGAGTCTGGGAGCTCTTAAAGCAAGCTGGCTGGTCTAATTCCATATCACTGTGGTTCCTTTTATTTTTTTAAAGCAGCTTTATTGAAATATAATCCACAGCCCATACAATTCACATTTAAAGTATAAAACATGAGTTTTTAGTCCATTTGCAGATATGTGCAA